TTTTGAAACCGTTTTCTTTCTAAAATATAAACCAATTTATTAGACATTTATTTTTTGGACAAAAATAATTTAAAAAGTACCATTTATATGTAATTGAGCGACAAAAAAATAGGGATGTTTTATTACTATTAAAATAAATGGTAAGATAAGTTCAATCTTAATTTCACTGAAGCTGTTTTTATTCAATTAGCTGGTGAAGAACAAACAAATCGGTTTTGTTTAGATTTTTTTTTTTTTACAAAATATCATTGAAATGTTCTTTAAAAAAAAAAAAAAACAGTTTGTTAGAAACGTATTTTCATTTTTCTCATAGACATGAATAGGTAACTATGATTTGTTTTCCTCACTGGTGACTTTCTCAGGTGCGTTTGAGGACAAGTCATTTGCATCTTTGGCGGAAGTGGTCAGTGAGAATACACTGAAGGGAGTGAAGGAAATGGGCTTTGAAACCATGACTGAGATCCAGCACAAGACCATACGACCTCTACTGGAAGGAAGGTGAGTTTGCGGTGCATCAGACATTGCAGGATTTCAGTGGTACAGTAATCATCACTTGTTTTATTTGTTCAATCAATAATTTGTTTATTTGTTGTGATATGTGCTCATTGTTGTCCAACAGAGACGTTTTGGCTGCAGCTAAAACAGGAAGCGGTAAAACACTAGCTTTCCTGATTCCCTCCATTGAGCTTATCTACAAACTCAAATTTATGCCCAGAAATGGTGAGTGTACATATTGTCATTCTCTGATTGTTATAGTCATAGCAGAGATGCAAGTATGACCTTAGAGGTGTGACATGGCTCTGGTGTGTGTGTGTATCAGGGACTGCAGTGGTCATATTGTCTCCCACTCGTGAGTTGGCCATGCAGACGTATGGTGTTCTAAAGGAGCTGATGACTCATCATGTGCACACATATGGCCTCATCATGGGCGGCAGCAACCGTTCTGCTGAAGCCCAGAAACTCGCCAATGGAGTCAATATCCTGGTTGCTACACCTGGCAGACTTCTCGATCACCTGCAGGTAAGGCCTTTTACAATCAACAGCTTTGCCACACAGGTCTGTGAAGTGTACTTGACCTCTTTTTCTTTCCACAGAACACACCCGGGTTCATGTTTAAGAACCTTCAGTGTCTGATCATTGACGAGGCTGATAGGATTCTAGAGGTTGGCTTTGAGGAAGAACTGAAGCAGATCATCAAACTACTGCCTAGTAAGAATTGACGAACCTGACCACTCTGAAGTCACTTCCTTTAACCAGGGTTCTTGCACGTCCTTAAATATTTCTCTTTCTTTCCAGAAAAAAGACAGACCATGTTATTTTCCGCAACACAGACACGTAAGGTGGAGGATCTTGCACGAATCTCCCTCAAGAAGGAGCCGTTGTATGTGGGGGTGGACGACAACAAAGACACGGCCACAGTGGAAGGACTAGAACAGGTAAACTGCTCACCTGTCTAACTCCTTTATCAGTACCAGTTGATCATGTGTTGTGGGAGTAATATCTTATTTGAGTTTGACCTTGTGTTGTTTTTAGGGATATGTCGTATGTCCTTCGGAAAAACGTTTCCTGCTGCTCTTCACGTTTCTGAAGAAGAACCGCAAGAAGAAGCTGATGGTGTTCTTCTCGTCTTGCATGTCTGTGAAGTTCCACTATGAGCTGCTCAATTACATCGATCTGCCCGTCATGGCCATTCACGTGAGTCACAGAGCCATACGCACATAAAGCGAGATGGGAAGTGCCGTTGAAGCAGTGTGATGAATGCTTTTGTTTTCACGGTCTTTCAGGGGAAGCAGAAACAGACGAAGAGAACCACAACGTTTTTCCAGTTCTGTAACGCAGACTCTGGTATTCTCCTCTGTACGGACGTGGCTGCCAGAGGTCTCGATATCCCAGAGGTGGACTGGATTGTTCAGTACGACCCACCCGATGATCCAAAGGTACAGCAGTCACACCCCCTAGTCCAGCCTTGCTGATTGATATATATATATATATATATATACGCTTGTATTTGGATTTTTATATGTGACTTTTCTGTTGATATTTAGGAGTACATTCACCGTGTGGGACGAACAGCTCGTGGTATTAATGGTAGAGGACATGCCCTCCTGATCCTAAGACCAGAGGAGCTCGGCTTTTTACGATTTCTCAAACAGGCCAAAGTTGTGGTTTTATATTGGCTTTCAATATGTGTCGGCTTTGTATGATCATGACAGGAGTTTAAATACTCTATAACTTTACACGTTAACTAAACTTACATATAAAATGATTAAATACTATATGGACATTAAAAAAACTGACAAGAAAATTACAAAATCTTGAAATAAAATTAAAGTGAAAACAAAATATAAAAACAAAATCTAATTCAAAATAGTAACAAAGTATAGTAGTACATCAGTGATACTAAAATAACACTTGTAAGCTGTTAAACATGTCAAGGTGAATCTTGAAAAATGCATTTCTTATTGTCTCTCTCTTGTGTTCTTCTAAAGGTCCCTCTGAGTGAGTTTGAGTTCTCCTGGGCTAAAATCTCTGATATTCAATCTCAGGTGAGACTTCCTATTCAGTGAAGTTGAACTAAATCTCTTGCTCCTTTCAAATATAACCCCTTTGAATCCTAATTGACCTGTTTAAAATCGGTATTTGCTTTGGTCTTTTGCAGTTGGAGAAGCTGATAGAGAAGAACTACTACCTTCACAAATCAGCTCAGGAGGCCTACAAATCCTACGTCAGATCATATGACTCGCATTCCCTCAAACAAATCTATAATGTAGAGACACTCGACCTCCCGAAAGTGGCAATGTCCTTTGGGTTTAAAGTGCCACCTTTTGTGGACCTCAGTATCCTTTCAGCACTGTATTACAATGCTACTCTTGCATGTGGAACTTGTTACTTAAAGGGTTAGTTCACCCAAAAATGAAAATTCTGTCATTAATTACTCACCCTCGTGTTGTTCGAAACCCGTAAGACCTGCGTTCATCTTCGGAACACAATTTGCAGCCGGCGCTGCCATGTGCTCGCGTCATGATACTGTCGTGTTTCGAACAACACGAGGGTGAGTAATTAATTACAGAATTTTCATTTATGGGTGAACTAACCCTTGAATAGTTTGAGTTTTTGATGTTTTATCATGGTTGTACATGCATTACTGTTTGGGGACGGTACTATGCCCACCACAGCTGCATTTATTTGATCAAAAATACAGTAAAAATTGTGAAATATTACAGTTGAAATTAACTTTTTTTTTTTTTATTTTAAAGTTTTAAAATGGCGTTTTCAGCATCAGTACTCCAGTCCAGTGGCGGCTCGTGGGTGCACGAGAGCTCAGCGTCTCCCCCGGCCTCCTCCTACCCTTCTCTATCATTAGCGGTTATAATTACATCAGCAGATTCGGCACATTTGCGATAGAAAAGTGGCACTTTCACGTTATGGTATTACAACTGTGAAATTACAAACAAACAAAAAATACGCATTCTGAGATATGAACTGAAATGAATTGTGAATTTTATTAACATTAAATCATCCTCCCATTTTCACCTCAAAATTATGGGGAAGCTGTGCCTCCCCTGCCTCCCCCGACGAGCCGCCACTGCTCCAGTCTTCAGTGTCACATGATCCTTTAGAAATCATTCTAATATGCTGATTTGGTGCTTAAGAAACATTTTTTTTATAATCCGTGATGAAAAGATGTGCTGCTTAATATATTTTTTTGGAAACTTTTGAATGGTACTGTAGATCTATTAGCAGTACAAGGCCTATATATATATATTTATAGTATTCATAAGGTCAGAGTCTTCGGGTGGTGTTTGTTCCTTAACCGTTCGCTCTCTCAGATGTTCACAGCAGTAAAGGGGTGAAGATGCAGAAGCGAGGTGGCGGCGGAGGCTTTGGCTACCAGAAATCTAAGAACGTCCACAAGGCCAAGATCTTCAAACACGTCAACAAAAGGAAAGGAGATGGTAGACAGTTCTCACGCTGAGAATAAGATCAATCTTCTTTGTGATGCACCTCTATATGGAGTAACTGTCAGACTACACAATTGTCATTTTGTTAATTTGTTCTCAGTCGTTTGAGAAGAGCTCTGATCAGTCTGCATTCCATGCCTGTACAGAAATCTGTTTTCAGAAGCCGTTATGTAATGCTGAATTTCTATTGTTACTGGCCCAACTCATTAAATATAGAAACTTATATTGTGAATAATTCTTCATGCTGTCTCCGCTCTCCACATGAGATTGAACCTACAACCTTAGTGGCAACCAGGGTTTGATAGATCAGCCTTTGGATTTTCATTTATGTATTTGTTTTCAAATGGCTCATACAGAAAACATTTTCCGTAACGTTTCACAAAATAGAAAATTCTGAGATTTAATAATTTTCCATTTATGCACCAATGTAACAATAAACAAATGCTTGCTTTTTTTTTTTTAAACACTTTAAAACCTGTAAAATGGCACAAATATTTTGTGTGTGTGATATTAACAACCAATGAACTATATATTAGCATTTTATAAATTTTTGGGTTTTATCCTTATAAAAAAAAAAATGTTTTTAAGAAAACATAACGGTCAAATAAAAAGCAGCACATTGATATCATAATAGTCATGAGGTTGATTCATTTTACATTCAGTATTTTGTTAAATATGTTGTAAATATCCTATCTACTGTACAGTCTTAGAAGCCATAAGGCTGGCATCTTTAAAATGTGCACAAGAATTGCACATTTCAGTTGTAATGTTATTTACAGGTCAAGGCAATCTGAACGGTCGGTAAGATGCCAGGTTGTTTTTACCATTAGTGTATCATATGTGACTCCTCGCTAGTCTGAAACCACTATAGTAAATTAATCTGTCAAATCAGCAGGTAGTTCATTTCTCCTTTAATGTTTGTTGGTCTTATGGCAGCAGGTTTTTATGATGATACAAAAACAAAGGCGATTAGAAAGGGAATTTGTGTTATACACATGATGGGTTTAAATAAGGGGACATCAAGGCACAAAACATCTCCAGTTTAACAGTACATAAGTTACATGCTTCATCTCTGAACCTAGAAGAATCTAGGCTAACAAAGATACTGAACAGTAGAGATTCAGTCTGAAAGCAGATGTGATCTCGGCACGAGGCTGTAATGCAATGAAATACCAACATCAGGCAATGTGATGAGTATTTTGAAGTGCTACTTGGGAGTTATGTATTAATGGGGGGGTGGGGTGCAAATCCAGCTGTTACGACGCTCCCTTTGCCCTTAATTTAGATAACAGCATCTCATTCTTGCGGCACTCCTGCAACAGACAAGACGGTTCGTTTGTTTCCTCAATCCAGAATAAAATCAAATATCAATAGATTAATGTCTATACACCCTATGTAAAGGAGAAGGGAAGAAATTCATTTAAAACTAAACTTGTGTGAGTATATACCTCTTTAAAGTCCTTGACGGTTTTAAAATAGAGCCTCTGTTTATCCAGCAGCTCCAAGTACTCATCATTCAGCTGATCTCTGCGCATCTTATTCTCCTGTCTTTTCTTTTCCATCTTTAAATGCACAAATACACATTAGAAAAACACTAATGCAATTCATGTTCCTGTCTGATGGGGTAAATCCACAAATAGCCAGAGTGGAATTAAACTAATTCATATGCAAAATGGGAATAAATAATATAAGATTTCATCTATTATACGATATAGTAGTCTGGTTTTGTACCTTTATGCGACTCTGTTTGATTCCTTCCACAATTTGCTCCATTTGTCTGAGAAACTGTTCTTTACTTCCTGACGAAGCCATGGCTCTAAAAACACACAAACACACTTTACATTCAACTCTGCCTTCAGGATAGACATTACAATAGACATTACAATCTGATGCTCTTGCTGTAATATTAGGAAATTTCTACAAGGATGCTGGAGTTTTATTTGAAACTCACTGCTGGAAATGATCATGTATGGAGTTCAGCAGATTGACCTGTGAAAGAAAAAAGAGTGTCTCAATTTTACTGCACATCCTTTTAAACACAACACTCTTGACTAGAGTTTGATTCTCTTCATAAATACAAGAAAATTAATTCCCAATAGCACAGATAACAAAGCTGAAACCTCTTTCTCCAGGTACACCTTCTTGTCATCCAGGGTGTTATAGAGAGTGAAGAACTGTTTTGTCTCTTTGTGTGTTGCAGAAACTGAAAAACAAATGAACAATTAAAGAGTGCTTCAAAAAGCCACAGCTTTGATTTCAGCTCATTCTGTTGGATCTATTTTCTAACCAACATCTTAAAGCTATTGAGTAATAGAAGCAGTGAGAGTTTTTTTTCTTTTGTATTGCAACCTACATCTGAGTAATCAGATTATTGAGAAAGAAAACAATGTAATGTTCAATATAGTTGATACTATAGGTTGTTGATTGGATGGAGGCAGATCTGACAGTGAGCTTGAGGTCAATTGTACAAAAGGGGCAGATTAAGCAGACTAAAAGACTGGAGAAGTCTGTTGTTTCACTGGAAGGTCGAGTTATATTTTAATTTAAAAATATGGGGTAAAAAAAAAAAATGTACAAAATTTTTTTTACATCTTTAAAAAATAGATTCTGACTTTAAACACACACACACGCACCTTGGCTGTACAGCTCAATAAAGCGTTTCTGATACTGGGTCAGCTCGGCTCTGCTGGGAACCTCATCAATCTTTCTCCGCAGGATGGCAATCTCGCGGTTCCTCCGAGCCTGTAGGGGGCAGTACAGTAAAACAGTATAAAGAATCTCTTAAGTAATCTGCTGAGTAAAACCATCAGTTCAAATTGACCAACCATAAGCAGACGGATCTTCTGCAGCTTTTCTCTGTCTGCAGTGTACTGCTGATCAATCAACATATTCATCTCCTACAAAGACACATGCAGAGGGTAAGTCTGAGAAGTAACTAGAATGACACAGATCGGCTCTGTTCCAAAAAGTTGGCACATTCCCTTTAGAAGGATTGTTTCAAAAGCTTCTTTTGGTCAAATTGCTAAGGCAGCATTGGGCACAAGAAATATGGCAACTGAAAGGTAAGAGAAAAATGGACAAAGTGACAGAGTAAAGGAAAAAGCTTGAAAAATGACCAAATTTGGCCCAATATTTGTTTATGATATGTATTATTATGCTTATTATGCCATTAGCATAGCAGCATCCTAACACCAAAAAGGGGCGCTGCCTATGAAGAGCGTTCCAAATCAGTCACTTAAGAGGTTCCATTTCAGTTTGGATGACTATGTAGGCACCTTCTTCTCATCTCCTCCTTCTCCATACTCCAGCTTCAACTCTTCAATATTCTGCTGCAGACGGGTCATTTCCTCCTATATACACACAACTGTTAAGAATACATTCATATCCTCAACGTTACTGACAAACCAAAGTATTGCAACAACAGGGTTGTCATGATAACATACACGACAGTGTGAGCGGAACGTTTGCTCTTGATGTTTGAGGTTTTCATTCATGGCCACCAAGGCACGAAGCTTCTCCAGAAACCTGAAAGATAAAAACAAACACAATACTTCAATACAACACATGGATACTGATCCTTCCTAAGAATTATCATGCTGGTTGGCTTTACTTTTTCTCATCTGATTTCTATACACTTTGATGTTAGCGTGATGCCAAGCTGATGGCACAACGCTCTAGTAAGCATAACATACACAAAGAAGCAAATAATCCATTTCTAATCAGACTGAACTATGTAACCCACATTTACTGTTAAGTGAACTTCGCAGACAAATGCAGTCATTTAAATAGGAATTCACACAATCAGGAATTTTGTTGAGGGCGAAATATTTTCCCTCACAGATTTTGCATTGGTTTAGTTCGATTACACAAAAAGTGTAGCATGTCCAAATTCAAAGTATTTATAAAACAGAAAAGTACCCTACTACTTCTGGCGACATTAATACCCCATGAGGCCATGGGAGAGAAGTTGTGAACGGCAGTGAAGAGATGCAACTGATGCCATTAAGTCACATGACAAAGCCAACATGGCAAATGTTGTATGTTCAGACTATATTAATATTCACAGGACATTTATAGTACACACATTCATACTAAATGTATACTTTAAATACAAAACAGGAAGTACTTATTCAACAGAAGATTCTACTCCGAGAGCAAGCGATTTCAGATGCAGCCTAAAGGTCCTTGCACACTGACTTCGAAATTTGCGTTTTTTTGTTTTCATATTTGTCATCCTTTCCTATCAAAATGCTTGCTACGGATGCGAAATGCAGAAAATCGAACCTGATCCGAATTTTTTTATGACGGACGAAAGTTTCGGAGGCAGTGTGTAAACATGATTGACACAACGTGAGGTTGTATTTATTTTTTAACGTGCGAAAATTTCGGACTCAGTGTCCAATGACCTTCAGTTTAGATAATTCCAGGTGTTCTGTTTGCTTACCCAGAATCTGCCTGAGACTCCACGTCCTCCAGTGAGTTCAGCTCTCTCTCCAGCTTTTCAGTCTGTGCTGTGGCCTAAAAAAAACACAAACATTAATGGTCCAAGTCAACCAGTTATCTGTCAGTATATGTCTGTGCCTAATTGTCTCACCTCGGCTAGTTTGATTTTAGCATCCTCACATGCTGCTCTAGCCTCCTGCTGTTTGGATTGCAGCTGAATAAATCAAGAAACAATGAAGATATAAACAAAGAGAAGAAACAATGACTGTGATATCAGCATTCTCAAAACTGTAATGTGAAGTAACGTGGTATTACCTCTTCGAGCTCTTTTGTTTTTTGAGTGATTTGTTTGTTGAGTGACGCCAGTTGACGCCTGTGTTGCTGCGCAGGTCCAAATCTTTCCGGCCGATCCTCCACAGAGCGCTCCGCCTGCCCAATCACACATAAATGTAGAAGGTTGGAACACACTATACAACTTATAAAATGAGAACATTTTAATTTTATTGCAAATTCCAAAATTGTATTCCCGTCTCAAGTCATTGTTCTTGTTGTAAAAATAAAGGGACTGTTTCCTAGAGGTTCAGTGGAGTTCTATCACTGTTCACCTTCTCGGCATATTCAGTGGCAATTTGCTTGATCTCCTCAGACTGCAGTCCAACAATCTGCCCCACTGTGCTGGCTGACAACTTCCCCTAAAAACACACACAGAAATAGCATAAAATAAGGAGACTGCTAACAGTTTATATTTTTTTTCTTAAAGGCTGCCTTGATAAGAAAGAGTGGACATACAAGAAAATAATTCACCTTTAAACTAAGGTTTCACAAAGTTAAAAACTGCATGTTGTTCTGACCATATACTTTTTTTATTTAAATTTTTGTGGAAATGACTCCTTTAAAGGGACAGTCTACCCAAAAATGTAAATTTTGTAGTTGCTTACTCATCCTCATGTCGTTCTGTCAATTTCTTTACCAATTTGCGAAACACAAAAAAGATTTTTGGACAACGTTGGGAACCAAACAACACTGAATAACTCTTATTTTTAATTATATAGACAAAAATACTTACAAAAAAACAAAAAAGACAAAAGAAAAAGTCAACAGTCTGGAATGACACGAGGGTAAGAATTTGAACTTTTAGGTGAACTATCCCTTTAAACTCTTTTGAGTTTTAAGCGTTTAGAAATGTACCTCCTCTGTTGCCATGGCAGCCATTCCAGTCATCAAGGCTTTGATTCTGAGCTGTAAAAAAGGCATCCAGTACTGATTGGTTAATGGAACATTAACTTTGGTCAGATAAAGAATGGGTGATGAAGAACAAGTGAGAGTTATTATAGGCCAAGTGTAATTTCATATGATCCTAACTGACCTCCTCTGCTGCCTGCAGGTCCTCTTCTTCAGACACCTGGGCCATTCCAGGAGGCACACCCTGCGTGCCCTGAGCCAACACCTGCTTCTGCTCCACTGCCTGTTTGAAACATCATCACATGATCAAACTAACAACCAATCAAAAGCAACAAAGGTCAGTGCCAAGCCCTACTGTCCATCTGTGATCTATTATACCCAGATGGACACCACAGGGGTGGTTCTAGGGTCAGTGCATACAAAAAGTCATTTTTTTGCTGATTTGTACAGAGTTGCCTGTAGAACTGAAAACTGCAACATTTTGAATCAAAACTCAAGACTACTTTTGAAGTACAGAGCAGAATAATGATTTAATTTAATGACAAAATGTACCAGCTCTTGGATCAATATATTACCAACATATTCCCATTACTTTTCCACTTTTTTAAAGATTACTAGATACATATTTTTATAAAGATTGCACTCACAAAGAACTTCTAGCCAATTCTAGCAAACTGCAAAGCTTGAACTAGCAAAAATATCCACTATATAAATTTCCATTACTTTTTAAGATTTCCGATTTCGATAAGATATCCGTTGCTTAAATGTAACCTTCTCTGACTGGACTTTTTATGTGATGTTTCGGTCATCTGATACTCACAGTGCCTGCTTTAGACTGTTTGCTGAATCCATAGCGCCTAGAAAAAAACAGAAAAGAAGGTATTTGAAATGCTTCATGTTCACATTACAGACAACATGCAGCTCATTGCAAGAGTCAGTTTCAAAACAAATCACACTACAGGCACAACACGCCACATGACAGGAAATTACACATGAACAATACATTTAGATGCAATGTGTGAAAAACAGCACTAGGGCAGATGCAAAAGAAAAGACATTAATGCAGTTGATGCAAAGCCAATCTGACCGATGGTCAATCTGTGTCACTCCCATTCCCAGAAACTGAGCTTCAGTCATACTCACTGCATGTATTGTGATATGAGAAGGCACAGACTAATGAGTGAAATAAAAGAGACAGACAGAAAAAAAAAAAAGAGAAGCGAATGAAGAAGGAGTACAGAATTAATAGATGCCTTTAATGGAGTATTTGTTTGACACTGAAATGCTGATACAATGTGTCAGGAAACAGACCAGTGAAGATGAGAGAAACAAAAGAGAGGGTGAATGAAAGAGAATCTGGATAAAAACTGGTCCCCTCAATTGGTACGAAATATACATAATAAATTAATAATTTTATTTATCAAGGATGCATTAAATTGATCAACAGTGACAGTAAAGACATTTATAATGTGACAAACAATTTCAGCACAGTAATAAATCATATTTTCCAATATTAAAACAGAAAACTGTTATTTTGAACGGTTTGTACTGTATTTTTGATAGCATAAGAGACTTCTTTTAGAAACGCTAAAAAAATCCTACTGACCCCAAACATTTGAAAGGTAGTGTATAAAGTACTCCTCAGGTAACTACTCTCTTTTAAAAGCCTAAAGTACACAACACAGTAACAATCCTTGGTTCACTTCCAGCTGGACATGATGAGAGTACAAAATTCCCGGGTCCTGTAAAGGAAGAGATCGAGTACCTGCCGAACTCCAGCAAGGTAGAATGAACCCGAGACTCTTCATCCAGCAGCTCCCCAGCATCCACCTGCCGTTTATAACGCCTCTGAGGAGCATAAACCTCCTACACCCAAACACAATTTATAACATATTCAACATCTCACAATCTTCTATTATTAAATACAAGGAAGAGGAACTAATGGCACATAATTACTGTAGCTTTTTCTCATGGGGGGCAATATTAAATTCAGCAGAGAGGCTAAATTTAAACCCAGTCAGCCAAGCATCATAATGCAAAGCTTATGATGTGTTGTTGATGTATAAAAGCTTAGCGGATGGATACTTACACACACATTCACCACAGTACTGATGGCTCTCTCCTTCCTTAATTCAAACTCCTCATCCTAAAACAAACACATTTACTGAGACTTCAAAGATTACAGATTGTAAAATATTTGACACTTCACAGTGTTAATACCCTGTATTTGTATTTCAGTGTTGGCCTGTTGTCTCACCTCAGGAAATGCATGTGTTTTCTGGAACTGAGAAATGGAATATGACCTGACATAATCTCCCATCTCCTCCCGGGTTTCAATCGCCTTCTTTACCAGCCACTATAGATGCCGCAAAAGATGCATTGTAAGTATTCTTGCACTTTTTTTGTCACTATTAAAAAAAACTAATTATACTGGAATTTTGGGGGTCTGTAAGTGTTTTCTTTTTTTAAGAAATTGATGCATTAATCGAAACTGACATTTATAATGTTACAAAAAGAATTCTGTTTTAATAAATTTCAACTTTCTATTCATCAAAAATCCTGAAAAATAGGTAGTATGGTTTACACAAAAATATTAAGCAGCACTGACGATAATAAAGTTGTTTTAATTCATAAAAATAATGTATTTGAGCACCAAATCAGAATATTAAAATGATTTCTGAAGGATCCTGTGACTCTGAAGACTGGAGTAATAGCTGCTGGAAATTTAGCTTTACCATCACAAGAATAAATTACATTTAAAAAAATATATATTAAAATAGAAAACAGTTATGTTAAAGTCATATGATGTTGCTAAAAAGAACATTATTGTGTGTATTTGGTTAATTGATATTACTGTACATTGTGTTACATTCTCCTGACAATAAACTTAAGTTCTATTAAACAGCAGGACTTCTTCACCCAGTAAGACAGAATTATTTACATATTAGGCTAAATGTATTGATTTAGCAAACGCGTTTATCGTCATTTATATATGATGTATATAATATATTATTATAAGTGTACTTTATGTCTCTTTACAAGAAGAAAACACTGTACATTGTGTTACATTCTCCTGACAATAAACTTAAGTTCTATTAAACAGCAGGACTTCTTCACCCAGTAAGACAGAATTATTTACATATTAGGCTAAATGTATTGATTAAGCAAACGCGTTTATCGTCATTTCTATATGATGTATATAATATATTATTATAAGTGTACTTTATGTCTCTTTACAAGAAGAAAACATGTATACGCTTCTATTTAACTGATACGTTAAAGTGATTGGTTGAATGCATAACCTTAAAAGCAATAAAAGCAGACTGCAAACGCAAATATGCGCATATGAGGGTTTAAGTGTTTTGTTTTCAGTATTACCTTGATGAGATTGCCCTCCTGGTCATATTGGGCTCCGATTTTCGAGCCTGTTCTCACTCTCTGGAACACAGAGGTGGCCGCCATGATGATCACGGTGTATCACGTGAGATGAATAACGTGACGCAAACATTGTCACAGTCAAAACGGTTTGCTACTAAACAGTATGAGTGCAATATGAAGAACATTTCTCACTTGCTCAGCTGTCAAACATCATTGAGACATTACCGGTTTAAATATTTGTTTAATAAAGCAAATTAAATAAGTGAAGACGTGAGTGTTTTGGTCTTTTTATCAGTTCTGGCGTTTGTTTTTATGGCTGGAGCTCAGAGACGTGATACTGCGTAAAGTGGCAAGACAAAGTGGCTGTTCTGTTGTGATTAAATTAATTTGTTTTTAAGTCATCATCTTTCAGTATGTTTTTTATACATTAAATATTTGTACTTCTTGAGTGCAGGATATATGCATGTAGGCAGAGTCTAGATTTTTGGTGAATGGACTAGTTTCTATGTACCGCAATGAATTGTATTCTTGTTACAGAGGACGCGACAGTGACCTTAGCTGACTTCCTTGGCCTGAAGAGTTCATTCAGGGCTCAAAGGACCAAAACCCATGAGGACGCTCTCTGTGCATGCTGTTGAATCCATTCTGCAAATAATTTAAGCTATTTATAAAGTACCCAAACAGTGATTAATATTATCCATGTGGAATATTACCTAATGACTAAATGACAGATTACATTTAGAAGCACCTACAATTTATCATATCAACTAATCACAAAATCTGCAGTTAGGTTTTGCTTTATGTATTTCCTGCACATATGTGCAATATTGCTTACATGCATTTTAATAGTTCTTGAAATCCAAGTGGAAATTTAAGAAATATAGTCATATAAATTTAAACCAATATGATGGCTGAAGCACCTTCAAACAAAAGTCAAATCAAGAAGCTGATTTATTGATTTAAAGCCTACGTTTAACTTAAATGTTCTACTTTTGTTTAATTTGTGCAAAAAAAGCAATGCAAAACCAAAAACGATTCAATGTGTGAAATGTGCATGATAGCCAAATCATTTATTTGTATTGTGAAATAAAGCTAATAGAATTTAACTTTAAATATGTACACTCAGCATTATGATATTTCTGCTTATATGTCCTGATGGTTTTAAATTGCTGTGGTGATATTAGCTCTCTGCTCAACAAAAAAAAAAGCTTCTAAAACTATTTGCAGTCAAGACGTTGATCTTAGTGTTTTTAAACCAGAATGTTTTGCAGCAAGTATATAAGTTTTGACAGCATTTCCATGCTTTGCTTGTATTTGTATCTTTCCTCATTTGTAAGTCACTTCTGCCAAATGAATTTATGTAAATATAAATGTAAATGTATGTTGTGCTTGGTAAAGACTTCACCATTCTGTATATCCTGGTGATTTAGTATGCTTGGCTGTCTAAATAGGTTTATAATTCAAGTATGGACTGACATTAGGAATAAACTGTCAAGGGAGTGTCCCTCAAGGCTGTGCATATTGTGCATAATTCTGTCTATTTATAATTCTATAATTAATTTATTTATTGTAATGTACATTGTACAAATTGGAATAAACTGTTAAGGGAGTGTCCCTCAAGGCTGTGCATATTGTGCATAATTCTGTGTATTTATAATTCTATAATTAATTTATTTATTGTAATGTACATTGTACAAATTGTGTCTTTTGTGTAATATTATATGTAGACTTTTAATATTTTATTTGGTGTAAAATTGTTTAAAATTCATGAATTGTTTATAACATAGACTGTTTCTAATTTTTCTGTATTTAATGTAGAATTATTTTTTTATGAAAATTATTTTTGCTGTAATTTTTGCAGGAGCAAACACAGACTATTGCATCTAATAAGGCAGGGGAAAAAAAGGAAACGTGGGAGTGTCTAGGAAGGAATGAGGTAGAGGAAGGGGTGTAAGAAGGAGGCTGGCTGTACATCACAGTGGAAGGAGCCTGGACTGCAGCTCTGTTTTCACAGTCCTTCGCACACAGCAGCCAAAGACACAGCAGAGCCCATCCTCCCCGAGTAGCTCTTTCAGTTCCACCAGATGTCAGTTCATCAGACATCCTTTAATCCGGTGAGTTCTCTTTATCCTCTTTTTCTGTGTCACTCCTCAGTATTTTGCTTTAGTCTGCAGCCCTCTCCAGTCTCTATTTGCTGTGTGTTTACAGCATTACTTTGTCAGCATTTACTATTATTAGGGGCTCACATTAGAGCATAATATGGTCTTCATTTGCACTAAGACTCTGTAACTACTGCAATATTTTAGGATTGTGTAAAGGCACATTTAGAAGACCCCCCCCCCCTTTTTTGGGCTAATGGCCTCATTTAGGGTTCAAATCAAAGTGAAGTCTGGTAATGCTATACAATATCCATTTATTTCATACCAAATAATGGCTGGAAAGCGCAAAATTAGATTCTACTTTATCCACTTGGGATATAACAGAACATACAGATGATGCCAGCAGAGGATCTTGTGGATCTCCATGACTCATGACTGGCCTGACTGCACCGCTTTACTTCTGTCTGAATGAACAGGCATTCTCCATTTCCTTTGGAGAAATTAACTAGAAAGTTGTCTCCCCATTGTAAAATAGGCTACAATGGTTATGCAATCATCAGCCTATTTCTAGATTTTATTTGGCATGTCTGGGATTTCACTGACAAAAAAAGCTTTGAGCTCGTTTCATCATAGTGCATAAGGAGTGTCATGGAAATTCTCAATACGAATACATCTTACTAATCCTACTACAAAACTAATTTGACTTCTCTAGCACGAACAACTCAGACAACCTCCAGTTGTCAATAACATACAATACTACAGTACCAATTCACTATAATCCAAAACGTCCCTTCCAAAAGTATGGTGATGGCGTCCCGTCAAGAAGCTACTATCACTACCTCAAACTATAGACCTGCACTCGCGGGACTCAACGCAACAAGGTGCAGCGCGGGACAACTCTTGATGGGGCGAGTGCGGGTACGGGTGCGGGCGGGAAGAGACTCGTGTGTGTGCGGGATGCGGGAGAATAAAATGATTCGCGGGACTCCCGCAAAATAGAAAGTATCTAAACATAAAGTGTCTAAAACATACAAATTGTTATTTATCTGTTGCACAAAAGCAAGAAGAACAACTAATATTAACATTAAAATGATTGACATGCGCAAGCTAGGCATAGTTTCTATTTATAACACGTGTTTAAAGGGTTGCGCAATGTAGCCAATCACAGACTCAGCTGTTGATTTCTGGAACGCAATGGCCAATCAGAGGTGATTAAGTAAGAATCTACTCACCGCAGTGCTGAAATTGCGTCCTCTCATTTTAACACACGAAGTGTAGACACTGAAAGATTAATTGTGCATATATTTATTGTGTTATAACAGAGCTTTATGAGATTGTGATTAACTGAGATGTCAGCTTTTAGTGATAATTAAGGAAGTGCGCTGCTCGCATTCTGCAATGCCAAACCATGCACGCAGCAGCCCAGGCTTGCTTAAGTATCAACATTCACAAACCACTGTTATTTTTAACAGAATAACAGTGGTTTGTGAATGTTGATGCTTAGCCTAAATAACAAATATTTTATCGGTTATAGTGTTTATGTTGGGAAGTTGTGGAGCTTAGGAGATGTTACAGAACCTTTTCATGTAAATTTCTTTGATCTATAATCTATATAGATTACTTTTATGCGGGCGGGAGCGGGACAAAACATGATCGTGATGAGATGGTGATACATTAATCTTCATTTGTGTCTGCAGAAAAGGTGAACTAATAGAAAATGGAATCACCTCAAACATGCTGTAAGTCATCCTGTGTGTGTGTTTGTGTTTAAAATAAGCTTGGTGTTTCTGAATATTGCTAAAGGCCATTTCTCATTCTCTGGCAGATGAACAGGGTCATCAAAACCTTGAAGCCATGAAAGCAGGCATGTTTCTGCGCAAAGTGAGGTCTCGTAGTTGGAAGCGTCAGCGGCACTACAAACTTCAGGAGGACTGCAAGACTATCGCATATAAATCCAGCTGGGCACTAAACTCTTATTCTACCTGTACGCACTTATTGAGCTGATGTTTTTGTTTAAATGCTTCAGTAATCATGTTAGTTCAGGTCTAGTTATAAAAAATGTGTATAATTGATCGAAGATGGGATAAAAATGACTGATTTATTTAAGAAAATATGTATGGACTGCCAAAACAAAACGTCTTATTTGTGATCAATCCATTAGCAATTGCATAGAAAATAAAGGTCTTGAAGTATCAGCAGTTATTGATTGTACTTCAAGGTAATTTTGAATCAAATCCAAAAGGAGTACCCTATATTAGTGGCATTTGTGGTGAGTACTATTAGTAGGTATGTCAGGAGGGAAGTAGATCTGATATGACAGTAGTTGGAAGTCCAGAGCTCGTTTGCTTCCCTATGAACAATAGAAAGCATGAAGAATTAATAATAATGAAGCTTGCCTTTTCAAGCTCTAGTTCACATTTTTTGAAAACTAAGAAGAAGTGCTCTAAACAAAAACAAAAGCTTATATTGTCTTTGCGTTTTTTTCAGTCTCCATCAGTGATGTGGAGGTTGTTCGTGAGGGACATCAGTCCGAGGCGCTCCTTAGTGTGGCTGATGAGTTTCCCGCTGTCCGCTGTTTCACTCTGGTGTTTCGCGGCCGTAGAGGAAACCTGGACCTGGTGGCTGATTCAGCAAAGGAAGCTCAGGCCTGGATTCAGGGCATCAGAGCCCTCATGGAGAACATGGAGAACATGGATGAGAGCACCAAACTTGACCAGTATCCTTGTTAAGAAAATCTTCATTTCTGCCCCTTTTAAAGTAGCTTTTCAGAACTACATGTTAAAATATCAAGAAAAGGTTAGATGGATGGATGGACAGACAGACGGATGGAATGATAAAAGGACAGATGGACGGGTAGATAGATAGACAGATAGATAGATAGATAGATAGATAGATAGATAGATTCATGAAATCCAGCTGTTGACTATCAACTTAAATTATCAACCTAAACCATTCCACTCAGATGGATCTCAGACTGGTTTTTGAAAGCAGATCTAAACAAGGATGGTAGAATTAATTTTAAGGAGGCAAAAAAATTACTGAAAATTATGAACGTGGACATGAATGAAGAACATGCATGCTGTCTTTTTATGGTAATTATGAGTGGCTTATGTGATTTTGGATCATACATTTTCACCATGTTGTACCTCATTGTCATTTGTTGACCTTTTCTCACAGATGGCAGATAAGTCTGAGTCAGGAACCCTGGAGGATCAGGAGTTTGTGGAGTTTTATAAAATGCTTACTGAGAGAACAGAGGTGCTGGATTTATTCCAGGATTACTCCAGTGATGGAAAGAGTCTGTCCCAGTGTGATCTGGAGGAGTTCCTGAGAGAGGAGCAGCTAGAGGGGGAGGGCAGTTATGAACACGCCCTTCAGCTGATTGATCGCTATGAGCCTTCAGACACAGGTAATGATCCTCCATCAACAACTATACTACACTCTTCAGTTATAATTTTTGTGATATATGTATGAATGTATAATTAATTCTGATCAGTTTTATTTATACATTTTAAAGGGGTCATATGATGCGATTTCAATTTTTCCTTTCTCTTTGGAGTGTTACAAGCTCTTGGTGCATAAAGAAGATCTGTACAGTTGCAAAGACTAAAGTCTCAAATCCAAAGAGATATTCTTTATAAAAGTTCTGGATCGGCTTTCACCGTGGACAAAGCGGAGTCCAGCCCGGGGTCGTCACATGTGGTTGCCGCAAGCACGCTGGACACTCCTTCGTCGAATCCGCCGCCTCTGTTCACACTAGCCCTCCGGCCGTTCCTCACTCTAGCCCCCGGCCTCTGCTCACTCTAGGCCGCCGCCGCTCACTCTAGGCCACCGTGTGTGACGCTGTGTTTCATTGTGAAAGCGAAACTACTTTGTTTGGCCTTCCAAAAATGGACACGACTAGAAATCAGTGGTTAAGTTGTATTTACAACACTGTTCCAGAACACTTCAACCCAAATATTCAGATGTGTGCAGCACATTTTATGGAGGACTGTTTCCTGATCCTGGTAGAGTAGACTACAATGCCAGCTGTTATGACTCAAAGACTGTAAGTACGGTTTTTATATTTAAATAGTTTTTATATTTTATATATTTAAAGCAAGTTTTTTGGGCAGTGTAGAGTAGGTCATTATAATCCGTAATTATGTCCCCACTGGATGCAACGAATGCCTCGTTTATAATGGGTTTTCATGTTTTTGAATCATCGCTCCGGCCTGACAGGGCATCATCACAATATGGTAGGGGCATAACATTTCCGTCACACGCTTGAGGTTTTCGGCCAATCATAACGCACTGAATAGATGGCCAATCACAGCACACCTTGCTTTTCAGACCGATGAGCTTTGTAAAAATCAACGCGTTTCAGAAAGGCGGGGCATAGAGGAGAAACAATAATGTACAGTATGTGGAAAATAATGTGTTTTTTTAACCTTAAACCGCATAAACACATTTCATTACACCAAATACACAAAATAATGTTATTTTTAGCAGCATCATATGACCCCTTTAATGTGGTAGGCACAATTAAATATTTAGCTGAACTTCTTAACTTTTGCTTTGCTTGGAGGTAGCTTAATATAGTGTTTATATAGCTTAATTCATTTTTTTTTTTTTATTCTTTAAAAAAAAACATTTTGAGACTGAGCAGTGAATGGTAGACCCTTTAGGGATCATATACTCCCTGTTGAAGACCCTTGCTTTAGATATAAGAGTTGAGGGTTAAAAATTTCATTGAAAAATTATTTTATTCGCCTTATTTTATTTGGATGTTCTTTTAATAATGGAGTAGTTGAGCTCTTAATCTAGATCGCTGCATGGGCAACAGTGAAGTGGTCCTTTACTCATAACAATTACTAAGTAATGATTGAAGATTGAACAGATGTTTCATTTTGTCTTATGGTACAGCCAGAATGAATCACATGATGTCAGTCGATGGGTTACTAATGTACCTGACGTCTCCTGAGGGATCCATCTTCAATCCAGAGCGGCAGGACCTTTTTCAGGACATGAGCCAACCTCTCGCCCACTATTACATCTCCTCATCACACAACACTTATCTGATGGAGGACCAGCTAAAAGGACCAAGCAGCGTTGAGGCCTACATCCAGTGAGTTCTGCCTGTTTATGGTAATACAGCCATGTGTCTACTTGATTTCACAGATCTTTAATGATATCTTTTGCGGAAAAGGATTTTATGAGCATGTAAGTAGTAACATCTCTCATGCATGTAATAATATTTCTGGTCAATAATAGAATTTGAAACCGTCTATAGCTGTGAGATGCCCAGATAGAGTATTATATCCAACTATGTTACATAAAAATTATTTTTGTAACACTTCAGAATAATGAAACACATGTCTCTTTTTTTACCTCTTGTGGTATGGAACGACAGGCCAAATCAACGGTCATCACAGGCCAACTTTGGCCCGTGGGTCCTGGTTTGGGCATCTCTGGCCTAGTTGAATGCATTACATTTTGTTCTTTGTGTTCATGACAGTGGTTGTTTATTTGTGCTGGGTTGAACCTCTGAAGGGCACTGAAACGAGGCTGCAGGTGTGTAGAGGTGGACTGCTGGAATGGATCGAATGGGGAGCCGGTAGTTTATCATGGACACACACTGACATCTAAGATTCTCCTCAAAGATGTGATTACTACTATAGCAAATTATGCCTTCAAGGTGCTCTATATTTCAAAAATCAATATTAAAATTAATATCTATTAATAATTATTTACTTTGTTGTTTGCATGATTGATATTAATGTCTATTAATGGTATATAATATTGTTGCACAGATACATAATAATCTACTTCCAGATGTATTAATAAATGTTACCGTCTTTCCTACTTTTAGGCATCTGAGTATCCACTCATTGTGTCCATTGAAAACCACTGCAGCATAGAGCAACAGGAAGTCATGGCTCTATATTTCAGAGACATTCTGGGTGATATGCTACTCACGAACACAGTAGATGGAGTCTCCAGCGAACTGCCATCCCCAGAGGTGAGCTATTCAGTGCCTTATAGATAGTGGTGCACTTAACTTATCTGCTCTTAATGACTTCTTTTTGAAAAACATAGATGACTGCCATGGATCTTAAAATATTCTATTGTCTTATAGTCATTGTACTTTCATTATTATTGTACTTTCCACATGTCACTTCACTTATGGTCACGTATAAAGACAACAGATCCATATCACCTACTATAGGATATTGATTTTTTAAATATCTGTGGGGTCCAAAAGTCTGAGACCAAATTGAGTTTGGCATTTTCTCATTTAAATCTCAAAATAAAAATAATGTTTGTACAATGCAAATTTTGCAACTTCTTCTTACTTTGATTGTTGTGCAGATAATATAATTTTTATTGAAAATTATTATTTTTTTATAAATAAGAAAAATGCAAAATAGAAACATTTTCACTTTGAACCTAAGTGTTTATATAGCCTATTTTATTTCTAAATTGTTAAAAATTCTATATTATATAATAGTATATTATTAGGAATGTCAAGCAGGTCTATTTGTTGCGTCATTTCTTTCAGGCACTTAAGAGGAAAATCTTGTTAAAAGGGAAGAAGATTGAAAACGAGTCAGAGAACCCCACAGGTGAAGTCAGCGATGAGGACGAGGCAGCAGAAATAAATAAGGACAGTCCGCCAACAAATGGCAAGGTACCAGTGGAAATATTGAGAAACTGAGGAAAAGGTCAGTCAGTGTTTTCCACCCCTTTGTTTAACATTGTTTTTGATTGTTTGCTTTTGCCCCATGTAGAAATCGAAGCAAAATCTATGCAAGGAGCTCTCAGACCTAATGTTCTGTAAGAGTGTACATTTCCACAGCTTTGAGCATTCCCGCACCTCTGCTAAGTCTAATGAGATGTCATCGTTCTCTGAGTCTAAAGCCCATAAATATTCAAAAGAAGCAGGTTAGAAATTCTTTTTAAAAGGATAGTTTGGATATATTTTAACCTCATATTATTCCAAACCTGTATGCTGTAATTTTTTCTGTGGAACACCAAATGATTATTTAAGCAGCTTTTTGTTTTTTCCTTTCTATATAAAATCTAAAAAAAAAAAAAAAAAAAAGTGATCGAAATTGAAATTATACCATGTTGTAAGAATAATTACATTTTTGTATTAGGAATTCTAATTTTTTTGTCTGTTAGGTTCAGATTTTGTGCTGCATAACACCAGGCAGCTGACAAGAGTGTATCCAAGTGGAATGAGGACAGATTCATCAAATTACTCTCCAGTAGACATGTGGAACATGGGATGCCAGATTGGTTAGTATGGTAGATATTGCATTTCACACCATTATGTCAGTACTACAAAATGGAAGAATGTGAGCATGGCAGACATAAAAACACTCTATGTAAAGAGGAACAGGGAAACACAGCTAATGTGTTGTAAAGTGGCCAGCGTATTTACTTTAATGTGTTTTTGATTCATAGTGGCATTAAACTTCCAGTCAGCAGGGATGGAAATGGATCTTAATGATGGGTTGTTTACTCAGAATGGCTGCAGTGGCTACATCCTAAAACCTGAGATCCTTTGCAAAAGAGAGAGACTCTTTGATCCTGAAAATCCTGAGGAACGTGATGATTACCACCCTCTACTGTTCTATGTTAAGGTATTGAACAATGTTTGTGTTCCCTCTGCAAGTTTATTTTCATGATTTTATTTGTTGATTCTTTCTGTTTTCATCTCTTTTTAGGTTATTAGTGGACAACAGCTCCCTAAAGTAAAGCAAAAAGAATGGTCCATTGTAGACCCCCTGGTAAGGGTGGAAATTTATGGCGTTCCTTTGGATCAAGCCAAACAGGAGACCAAATACATTGACAACAATGGTGAGGAAATGAAAATTAAATGGACTGAAGTGTTGCCAAATTACTACAAGAGAGACAAATGGAAATTGTGCATAATGCAGTATTTGTTTGTAACTTTAATAATGTGGAAACAGACATGACCTGTTATGATGACAAGTTTCCCTAATTTACAAACCATAGGAATCCTATTTATGTCCTGCTGTTTGCAGTGATTTTTCTACTTTTTTCATCTGGACAGGATTCAACCCACACTGGAATGAAACATTGCAGTTCACAATCCACACCCCTGAGCTGGCACTGGTGCATTTTGTAGTTGAAGATTATGATAAAGCATCAAGGAATGACTTCATAGGGCAATACACTATACCTTTTACCAATATTCAACCAGGTAGGCCTATAATAATATAAAGTTAAAAAAACTGGGTCTTATTCAATAACCATGCAAACACAGCCTGTGTATGAATGTTTCCACACAGAAATCCTCATTCATCAATAACCCTGTACTCTCTTTATTTTTTAATTTAAGATAAAAATTTAGAACCAGTTGAAACATATTACATTACATTACTAGTATTATTATTAGTGTATGAGACCCAGTGTCTTTAGGCCTATATTCTAAATCATTGAAAATTAATTGGCTTTCTTGCAAATAACAAAAAGCTTCTTTTTTACAGGATATCGTCATGTGCATCTGTTGTCCAAAGACGGAACGAGTATCCATCCATCCTCCATCTATGTTCATATCAAAATCACAGAGCTGTAATTATACGTGTTCACAATTCTAGTAGTTTTATTTACAATGCTTAAATATTTCTCAGACAAATCTGTAGTTTGCTGTAAAAAGGTAAAGAAAACATTTTATCTTGTGCTTTGTTTAAAATTCAAATGCTGGCAATCACATGAACAAACCAAAACATTATTTAATCACTAATCCTTGCATTAAAACAAAAAAGTATAGCAACTATGATTATTTTTTAAGAGTACCTCTATAGTACTGTAGTTGCATGGTGTTAGTAGTGCCTTGTTGTCAAAATAGACCTCCAAGAATGGTGCAGAAAAGCCTTTTCCGTAAAAGCAAATTTTATTTTTAGTTGTTATTAGTTGTATTTTTTAGTTGTTTAGTATCTATGCAATACTGAGTGTACTGTTAATCAAAAAATCAAATGCATTTTTTTTTTAAGGTTATATAGTCATGGCAGAATGCATCCTTAAGGTTGTACATTATCTGAATTAATGTAACTGAGCATGGTTAAGTGCCTTTTATAAATAACCAAGTGTTCAAAGTAAATGATTCTTATATTCTCATTATGTATGTACTTGCCCAGGTAAATATTGTTATCTTTGGAAAATGCTATTTAAAGGAATAAACAGGAATAACAGGCATAAATATATTGTAAAAATGTTTATTCATTGTGGTTTGAATGAGGGTTATGTTATGTAATACTTTCATAAGATGAAGGAATGTCAACTGAAATGCATACAGAAACACAGCTACATGTCCCCCCCTTTTTCTTGTCTTTCTTCCTCTTCCCTAATCCAGGTCTTTTGTGTACCCATACTAGAGGCCTCTTGGTCTTTGCCCACACCATCTTGGACTGGCAAGTCTGGGTGATGTCTCTGAAGGTGCTTCACAACCTGAAATTTCTGTTTGGCTCGATATGTACAGTGGAGGCAATAAAATGGCAGCTGATTGGTGTGGGACAGATAATGATGGCGGAGACCCGCTGGCCAGCGGAACGCCCTTTGGCATATGGAGCACACATAAGGTCGCTCCTCGCTGTGCTTTCTCTGGTGTGTTTTGAGGAGGAAGCGCGTCTTGAAAGCCTTTCCGCATTTCTCGCATATAAAGGAACGCACGTCTCTGTGGCGTGTCTCCCGGTGGATGCGCAGTGCGTCAGCACGGTTGGTGCAGTACTCACAGTCCTCACATGCGTACGGTTTAGCGCCTGTTGGAAAGAAGGATAAACATCAAGGTGTGCAGGAACTTTACATTTAGCGAAAGACTATATAACACATACATAGCTACCTGTATGTTTTGTCATGTGATACTTCAGCTGGTTGACCCATTTGCATTTGTAGCCACATTCTGGGCAGAGATACTTGCGTTCCTCCATGTGAATCCTCATATGATACTAAAATAAAGAGAGATTCATTAAATTGGAAGCACCAACAGAACTGGACATCAAAAACCAAATACCCAAACCTTCAATCAATATCTTGGATAATAGCTCTTCATACCTTTAGTCTTGAAGGATCAGCACATGCATAACTGCACTTCTCACACCGGTAAGGTTTCTCTCCTGTATGGATTCGAATGTGCCAAGTGATCTTCTGTTTGTTCCTGGTGGAAAACTCACATTCAGTGCACTTAAAGAGGCAGGTTCCTCCATGTGACCGCACATGTTGGTCAAACACCACTTGGTGGGTGCAAGAGAAACCACAGACATCACACTTCAGAGTTTTCTCCTCTGCTGGTCCATCTTCATGTTCATCTAACATGTGCTGGACCAGCAGGAGTTTTTTATGGGTGCTGAAGGAACAAACCAAGCATTGATGGGTGATGGATATCTTGCTTTGTTTTTCTGTACCATTTTGAGGATCTTTCGTCTTGATTTCCGAATGTTCATGCTGCAAATGCGCTTTGAGAGCAGCTTGGCAGCTGCAGGTGAAGCTACACTGAGTGCAAGACAAGCTGTTCGCATCTGGATGTGCTCGGTTGGAGTGCTGCCTCAGGGCAACTTCGGAGCTGAAACGTGCATTGCATTGGCTGCAATGGTAGCTAAGATCACCAGTGTGGCAGCTCAAGTTGTGGCGGTTGATGTCGTTGAGGTTATAAGCTCTGTAGTCACAAAGCGAGCAGAAGTGCGTTGCCTGTTTGTCATGAATGCATTGATGGTGCAAGCGTAGTCTGGACGTAGTGCCGAAAGTTTGGCCACAGAGTTCACAGCTATGCCTTCCAACACCTGTGTGCATGGACTCATGGGCCTCCAAGCGGTACCAACGGATTGTGCTAAATGAACAGAAGCGGCATTGGTGAGGACGGACTCCCTCGTGCTTCACAGCAACATGCTGTGCCAGGCAACGCTCTTGCTTGCAGGTGAAGGAGCAAAGATTGCACTGCAGGTTTCCGGATATTTTACCTCTAGTAACCTTGTCTTTCTTGTGACCTAGGATATGATGGTTGAGAGATTTTTCCGATTTGGCTACAAATGAACACTGTGGAGACTGTATTTCACCTGGTTTTAAACAGCCCTTTATCTGATGACTTGTTAGAGCTCTCTTTTGGTGGCAAAGAAAAGGACAGTTAGGACATGAGAATCGAGGTTTGGGGTTTTGAGGGGTCTCTTCTTCTCCTGAATCTCTTTCCGAGTCATTTGCCCCATCTTCCTCCTGATCATGGTCTGAGTCACTAGGATTAGCCTCTTGCTCAAACTGCTCTCCTGTTTCAGCTAGATGTACCTTATGGGTGCTTCCACTGCATGCTGCACAATGGCGATCTATTGTGACTTTCCTAACAGATGAGAAAGGACATTTTCTGCAAGTATACCTACCCTCATCTTCAGTACACCCAGAGATCTCATCATTTACCAACTCCTCTTCTGCTAGCTTGTTTCTACTCTCAACAGTTGCCTGCCCACCTTTGGTTGTGCCTGTCAGTGAATCAGTCTCATTTACTACAGCAGTTATGGTAGGAGACAGTGAGCCTTCAGGTTCAGCTGAACCTTGTACTCTTGAATCTTTAGAATCAGTGATATCAACAAGTTCAGGATGCATTGTGAGGGATCCTGATTTAAGAGATGCACTTTGTTCCTGTATAGATGCATCACTTCCTGAACTACCTACACAACTCCCTGATGTACCTACAGTGCTAGCAAAATCAAACTTCTTTCTGCGCCTCTGCAGTGACCGGCACTTCCGGAGGTGTGTGTTCAAAGAACGCTGTTGTTTAAACTGCATGCCGCAGTCCTGGCAGCGTAGTCCAGCCTTCATGACCTGGCAGGACGACTTGCGGTGCCGGATTAATGCTGCCTGCTTTCTGGTCACATAGGAGCAGTGGCTACACTGATACATATTGCCCCGTGTCTGGACGACAAGCATTTGCACCCTGCCCTCTAGTACAAGGGCTTCAGCCTGGTCTTTATCCTGTTTTCTCATGAATTGCAAGCGAGTCTCAGTAGCTGAGGCCTCTACACATTTCTCCTGATGAAGACCCTCCGTGCTCCTTTCAGTTTCTGTCACCGGTGGCAGGTCTTCAGAGTCACTTTGTTCTTCACAGTAAGCTGCATTATCATCATCATCATCATCAGCTGATAGTTGTGGGAAGTTCTGGTGGACTGTATGCAATGTGTGAGATTCAAAATCAAATGCGGTGTCATGTATATTTACTGTCTCGGCAAATACCATTTGTGTGCTACTCTGGCTGGTTTGGGAAGCAAAGAGTGGGGAGCCACACTGTTCTTCATCAGTTGGATGTCCTACAGAAAGATTACTTGCTTCTTCTCTTGCAGACTCAATATCAAGACTGGCCTGCTGTACTAAAGTCATTTCCTCAGGTCCTCCAATAGTGGCTGCTATTGCATCATTCTCATTATCATTTACAGACATATCTTTTGAATCATCTATAGTCCTATTAGACTCCTTTGTATTAACCGTTTCTTCCCTATATTCTGAATTTGAAGTCTGAGGTACTGTGGTTTTGGAGAAAAAGTTGTGCGTCAAATCTGCAGAGCTTTGCTCTTTTTCTTTCTCTGCATATTTCTCAAGCCATCCCACATCTCCAGGCACATATCCATGGGATTTCTTTTTGTGCAGGAAGAGGCTGGTGTTGCTAAATGTGGTGTAGTGGCAGAGTGCGCAGCGGAACATGCGTGTCCGGGTGTGCCTGCAGTTTTCGTGGCTATGCAGGGCTTGCCGGTACTTTGTTGTGTAAGGGCAAAACTTGCACTGGTAAACAGGAGGTTGTGGATCTGCATTTGCTGAGTGCTTGAGCTGCATATGGCTGCGCAGTTCAGTCTTTCTCTTGCAGGAGTATGCACACACCTCACAGATCAAGGATTTTTCCTGGTGACGGAGTTTATGGCTGTTCAGCTGGTCGATGCGATGGCAACGATATGGACACTGATTACATTTGTACCTGAGAGAGATGAGAGGCAGGTGAGTAAACGGAAATGGTTCTTTTTATTATCATATTTTAATTTCAGTCAAGGTACGTACCTTAGATCTCCTGCATGTTTACGCATATGGACACTGAGGTAGTGTTTCCATTTCGTAACATATCCACATTCTGAGCACATGTGCTGTTTGTCATTAGAGTGCGTCAGCATGTGCTGTGAAAGGTATGTCTCATCACGACATCTGAAGTCACATAGTGTACATTTGTGGGGCTTTTCACCTGTAAATACAAATGTTATCCATCTATTTATGGCCAATGTGCAATTCTGAAGGAATAGTTCATTCAAAAATTAACCTTTTGTCATCATTTACTGTTATGTTGTTTAAAACACTATATAATTTTCTTTCCTCTGTGAAATGCAAACAAAGATGTCCAACCTGCTCTTTTCCAAAGAATGAAAACAGATGGTGATTTATACTTAGGGACTTGCTATACTCAAGTTTGCTACAGCTAAACTATAGCTTTGTACAAACTATATGAGAGTTACAGCAGAGGGGAAGATACCTAAACCTGTATTATTTCACAATACTTGGAATATATCACACAGGTTGTATGGACTACTTTTGTTGTTTTTGAGAAGGTTTTTAGAGACGTATAAACCAATCATGATCCAAGTTTGAGTTTTTCATGAAAAAAAAAAAAAAAGAAATAATACAAGGCTGAAATAACAAGACTGAAAAAATTATGACCGAATATTCATTTTTGAGTGAATTATACCTATAAACACTTATAAGAACTAAGTAGAACAACTGAATATCTTACCAGTATGCATCAGCATGTGTCTTTTCAGGACTCTTTTGTGAGCTGTTACAAA